AGATGATTCTTCTAGGAGAGTTTTACTTATAGTTTCAACATGACAGACTGAGAGGATACAATTATATTTATTTCTGATTGCACTAAAGGACAATTCTAACCTACCCAGTATTCTCTGGGCCATCTAGACACCTTGCAAAAGAAAAACTACAAAGCTGTGACAACTCTATCGTGTGTGTGTGTGTGTGTGTGTGTGTGTGTGTGTGTGTGTGTGACTTATACTAACGGATCCACTACTTGAGACTCAGCCTGAAACAATCACTCTTTATCCTAGTCCCATTTCCTAGGTAACTAGAACAACCAGATAAAGGAACTACACTTGCCTCGCAGAGGAAACTCAACACCACTTTCTCCCTGCCTGACACGTTCCCTTTTTGCTTGCACTGTGGAATCATGAGGACTGCAATTTAACAGAAAAAAAAATACTTTTATTAGACAGTATTAAAGTACGATAAGTCCTCACTTAATGTCTTCGATAGGTTCTTGGAAAACAATGTACAACAAAACCAACTCTTAAGCAAAACAACACATAACGAAACCAATTTTACCGTAGGCTAATTTACATAAACAAGAGTTAAGTTCCCATGGCATCTTTCTGGTCACATAAACATCAAACTTCTAAATAAAGACCCAAAAACACTTCCAATATTAAACACTGAAATAAATGCAAGCTATAGATACATTTAAGAAAGATTAATAAAAACAAGTAAAAAAAATTCTTTTCCAATTCACTTGTTCCAGATCAGGGTCATGGGTGGCCAGAGCCTATCCTGGCAGCTCAGGGTGCAAGCGGGGAACCCACCCTGGACAGGATGCCCTTCCATCGCAGGGCCATTCACATCCACATTCACTTACACTGAGACAACTGAGACATGTCAATTCACCTCACGTGCACATATTTGAGATGTGGGAGGAAACTGGAATACCTGGAGAAAACCCACACAGACAGCGGCCTTGGATGGGAATCTTTTATTCCCCTTATCCATAGTTATAACAAAACAATGTTAAATGAAACAACGTTGTTTGAGGACCTGCTGTATAATGCTTTTAGTCACCCTCATGGGTGGCTGAGACATTTTGAGTAACATAAAGCCCTGCTAACTAATTATAAAAGGTTTCTTTTTTTAATTTGGGCAGTTATAATAATGCAGACATGTTGACTTAAATTAAAAGATCATCCTGATGGATGAGTATATACCATTACTTGAACTTTTCTCACCACCCTACTTAAACAAACAAATAAACAAACAAACCTTAAAGTTGTTATAATTCTACCTAGAAAGTAAAGATAGTTTTAAGTCAGTAATGCAAATCCTTCAGCAGGCTGTCAGGGAAGAAGTAAGGACATAGGTGTCTTAAATTAAGAGTTAAGAGACCTACCCTCTCTCTTCAGCTCCTCTAAGCTCTAAAACCTTGGAGAATACAGTGATAGAAACAGCTAAGCCACAGTTTCCAAAGATTTCATGGGTCTTCCGAAGTGTTTAGATGAAATACTTTATGCAAAATAATTTAGTTATCTTATCTACAAGCTTAAACTCTTAACTACTATAAGTAGATCAATAGAACAAACTACTGGGTTTCTATCCAGCAGCTGGTCCCTCTGCTGCAAAGGCTGTCATTTCAGGCTAAGAGAGCCTTGCTTTCTTCACTTCAGTACATACACTCTGTTAGGGAAAGCTGCCTAGCTTGTGACAGAACTTGCATCACTTGCTAACTCCTGATATGAGAACCTGAATGAACAACAGATGTTCTACCATCTCTTCCTGGCTATGAAGAAAAGTACAGATAAGAGAAAACCACCTTCCCTAAATTCAGCCTGCTGGACAATAAGGCAGAGTTCAGGTGTCCCAGAATTTAAATCCTTGACTTCTCCCAATGCTGCCTCCCATGTTGGTAATTTTAGGTCCATCCTCTGATCTGCAATCTAATTACATGGGATTAACTCCAAATAGGGTTGATGTTAAATTGTTTACTAAAACTGTCTCCTTTTTTTTCATTGTTAGTACGTCTTAAACTGAAGAGGCAATTCTTATCAGATATGAAACAAAATTAAAGCAAATAAGTAACTAGAAGTAAGATACTTTCCCTTAAAACCCAAAGGAATGGCAGGTTGATGTAGGAATCCAGAAAGTGACCAGTACGACTATGATCCATGTGACCCCCACTTTTCATCTGGACCTACAGCCCACAGAAATAGGAACTCCTTTCAATCTGGGGCCAACCAAGCTAAATGTTTCATAATTAGAAATGTAAATTCAACATCCTTCCCAAGTGTTCTTTACTATGACTAATTATAAATACCAACAAAAATGCAGGTAATGTCCATAAAGTTACTGGTGCCAGTCCCTGTACTAAACATTTTACAAGTAATCTCATTTAATCAAGATAACGATCCCATGATGTACAGACTATTATTATTCCCACATTGTAATCGAGGCGAGTCAGGCTTAGAGAAATGAAATAATCTGTCCTGGGTTACTGCTTGTATTCAAACCAGGGTACGCAAAGCCTTCACTCATAACCTCTCCATAACCTGTCCAATGTGGTAGCCACTAGTCTCATGTAGCTACTGAGCACCTGAAATATGGCTAGTATGTTTAAGAAACTATATTTTTTTATTGTAGTTAATATGAATTTAAATAGCTACACATAGCTGGTGTCTACAGTAACGAACAGCACAGCTCTGTACTATAAGGACTAAATGTGCATATGACCTTATGATCACGACCATTAGTCTCACTATCACAAATATTTTTAATAAAAGAAAATTAACAATGATTATGAGTACGAGGGGAGCCAATTTACTGTAAGAGTTTGTAGAGTAAATCCTATGTGTATTGAGTCCCAGCTCTGCCAGTACTTAGTTGTTTGATTTGGGTCACTAATTAACCTCTCTGACTGAGTCTTAGTTCCTCATCTGTAAATGTATCTTTAAAATGGGGTAAATACCCACCTCATCATTAGGTTACTGTGAGAGAACTTAGTGTAATATCTAGAATATACTAAGTGCTAAATAAATATGTTAGTAATAGTAATAACAGCAACTCTGACTTTTGGCCTTTTTTAATTTAGGAGAAATAAGAGTTTCAATTAAAAAAAAAGCTATAATTTATTAGTAACTCCTACCTTATAAACGTACTTTCGAATTAAAATTTTTTATTTTGAAATCAATTCACATTTACAAAAATGCAAATATATTACAAAGAAGCTTTGCATACCCTTTAACTAGATTCCCCAGTTTCAACATTTTGCCACATTTGCTTTATTATTCTATCTATACATCGTATGTTTTTTTTTCTGAACTCTTTGGCCCTTTATCCCTTAATACTTAAGTGTATTATGTCTCCTAAAAAGGATATTCTCTTATATAACAGTACGATTATTAAATTCAAGAAAGATAACATTGATACACTACTTTAATCTACAGGCCAATTCTAATTTCGCCTTTTATCCCCATCATGTTCTTTTAGCAATGGCCCCGCTCCCTACCCAAGAGGATCCAGTTCAGGATCACATGTGTCTTTTGAGTCTCCTATAATCTGGAATTGCTCTCCTCAGCTTCTCTTTGTCTTCATGACTAACATTTTTGAAGAGCACAGGCCAGTTATTTTATAGAATGTCACTCAATTTGGTTTTCTCCAATGTTTCCTCATGATTAGATTCAGGCTATGTGCATTTTTTTGGCTAAAATACTACATAAGTGACGCTGTGCTTATTCTCAGGTTATCACATCTAAAAGATCACAATGGCCATCTGCACCGTATTGATGTTAATTTTGATTCTTGGTTAAGGTACTACTGGGCATCTCTACTACATATAGTTACTGATTTTTTCTTTTGTCATTAATAAGTAATTTGAGACTATGCAAATATATTGTTCTTCAAACTCCCTCCACCTCCACTAGCTTTAGCACCTATTGATGACTCTTGCATAATCAACTTACTATGACAGTTGCAAAATGATAATTTTCTAACTCCATCATTACTTCTACGTTAATTGATTGGCATTCTACTATAAAGATGAGCTTCTCCTTCTACCCTTTTTACTCATTTATTTTTCTACTTACTAACTGTATTAACTACGGATTCTTACTTTATTTAACAGGTACTACTGAATTTTTATAAGTATTCTTCAAATACAAGTGACAAGAGGCTACAGATGTAGATTAAGAGAATTTAATTAGGAAAATTTTATTCGTTATGCAAGAGAAAAACTATTAACTGAGGTCTCTTCTTGTTTCGAATGCTTGTAGACAAGAGAGGTTTAAAAGCCTAACGCTCTGCAGTTTAGGCCGTTAGCATGTAGTTCTAGCAATAGACAATGTGAGCTATCACTGTGAAGTGCAGTGTTGCTCATCATCAGACATGATGTCATACCCCAAAAATTCCATCCAAACAACCCATCAGTTTCTCCACAACTAGCAAACTTGAATGTTCTGGCAAACTTAAAAGGACATGATTTACAAATAGTAGGTAATATTTGGATCTTTCCATAAGAGCTGGGTTCCAGCTTTTTTATAAAATACAAATGTTTTCATTTGGAGCGCACTGTGTCACTTTCTCAACAAACAGATCCTCATATCAGAAACTAGGTCTGTGTTATATACAAACAGAGTGAGTTTGCGTGCATTTATTTTGTGGTAGGAGACCACACACCTAGTGGCTATTTACAATATTTACATTGCTCATGATGCCGCAAAAAGTTGGGGGTGGGGGGAGGCCTTCGGAGTTGAGACCAAAGCTCAGGCCACACAGAGTATGACTGCAGGTCTTGCTCTAACACACAAACTAGACCTAACTCTCTCTCCATCCACCGTGGTGCTTGTTTTCTGTGAAAGCGTATCTATGCCATCCAAATATCACTAAAACATACTCCCAATTTAACACACTGTGGACTCTGGTATTATTTCAATGAAATAAACCTTTTAAAAAGACTTGCAAAGTTTTAGGGTCATTATATCCTTGTGCTCAGGATCACTGCGGGAAGGTTTCGAACACCTACCAAGAAAAGTCTGGAGACCCCAACTGCAAGCCTCTCTGTCTTCAGGTGCCAGACCAGGGGCTGTGGGGAGTTGAGCAGGAACACAACAGGCTTGTGGTGAATGTGGACTGAGGAGATGGGATTTAGGTGCAGAGTGACCTAGGAAGCAAGAGAAAGAGGAATCTTAGCACTGACTTTCCATTAAAATCATTTAACATAGCATCTGGAATACTTTTTCACAGTTTACCATTAATAGAAGCAAGCAATAAGCTAGTTTAGATTCACGGATAAGATATACAAGGTTGAACTAGATGACATTGCCAATAATTGACCTTTTTTTTTTACTACAAAAATGGTTATATCATATGGTCAACTTACACTAATCTCAACTAAAACATGATTCAGCTCCCAGTAATAGTGGAACACAAACAAAACACATTGTGTTCAAAGTTGGCAAAGGCAGAATAAAAGTTACCTTCCCTCAGTGGTGTCTTATCCTTCAAGTCAAATGACTAAACTGAAAACTGGAGTCCAGAACCCCTGAGGATGGGTCATCCTGGATCACCAGATGATGACCTTCTTCTCTTCCAGGTAAGCTCCAACCTCTATAAAGTTAAGTGAGTTCTGCCAAAGATGTGTCAAAAGCTAAGGGACAGGGACTGCCAAGGAGAGCAGCCAGTGCTTTTCTCATCCCAGCTATTAGCTCGAAGGGGTTTTCCAAAGAAATGAAGCACAGAGAACACACAGAATAAAAACTGATTGTACACAACCCCAGTTGAAAAGGAAAAAAATAAATTAATTAAAAAACAGGGAAGAAAACCATGAGCCTGGATAGGAGACTGTGGCCAATTTTGATAGCGGATCAAGGACTAGTGTGAGTTATCAGTGTCATCACTAGCACCATCAGAAAGCACTTGTGAGGACGGCAGGAAACTGGGTTCAACAATGTTTTCTTGGAGCACATGAACCATGGTCAATCGGCATCAACATGGGACAGCAGAAGTCGGACACGGAATACTGAACAGATGCTTTCACAGGGGCATGTCTCACACTGGCTTTCTGTACAGAGGGGTGAGGTGAGACCCAAGAATCACATATTTAAACAAAGTGAACTCACCAAAGAACACCATAATGTGTTAAGAGAGGAAAAGGACAGAAAAGGACTTTAGCTAGAAAGACACAGACTGAGTGATACACCGGGACTAATAATACATCCCAGTCACAATCCTTAGGAGGATTAAATGGTCTAGATCTATGCCTTCAGTCTATACAATCATCAGAGACAGAGCACTCAAAGTTGGACTGCTTTACATCTTCCCAGTGGCTGCTGTTCCACTGTGATCCTTACGTATCTCTATTTTTTATGCCTATGTGACACCAGTGTCACTTATCGCAGTATACTCTCAGGTCATTGATAATAAGGCATTAAACTCTACTTAAATTTCAAAACCCATGCCTTAGCACATGGTAGTCACTCAGAAAATGCCAACTGGATATTTAATTTTCTAATTTTTAATGCCACAAAAGTATTTTATTCTATGAATAATTTGCACTATAGTATATAGTACCATCTCATTCATTGACTGTTGAGTGTATGTCTTAATCTCCGAAGTAGACTCAATAAGCAAAGATATGTCTTATGTTTAATACTACGATTAATACAGAGTAGATCATTTTTAAATGATTGATTTATCACAAGAAATTCATAAATTTGTTACATAAAAGATAAAAAAGGATAAATATATTAATAGGTTCAAAAGGATTTAGGTAGCCAATTTATAGAAAATTTAAAATAAAACATGAACAGTACTCAAAACTACCATGAGCTATTTCTACAAGACAGCTAGGATCACATTTTTCTATTTGGCATAGGAATAGTACTAAAAGCAGAGTACTAATGAACAGTATGTCAAGTACAGCTACAACAAAATAAAATGTTCCTTGGTCGTACAGACTCTACCTCACAGCATTCTAGAGATCTTATCTGCATCTAGAAATAAACAGATTGACCATCACTGTAAACAAGAGAGGCTGTAGAAACAGAGCAGTGGCAAAGATTCAAACTGCAGCATTAACGGAACAGAGAGATGCACACTACAGAAAGCACACACTATGTAGAGTGCGGAAAGGGGAGATGAAATCGTCACTTGTTCAAGAGCACCTGAAAAAAGAAACACTCTGTCACTAATAGTATGTGTCGGTAAAAAGTTTCCAGATTTATTCATTCCAAAATTGTTTACTGAGCACTATAATAGCATAAAGAATAGCAATATATATCCTCAGAGGGTGCGTCAACTCTTTTTCTGATGATTTTCTTTGCAGCCCTCAAGCATACAGTTCTTCTTGGAGCACGTAGATAAAATAGTAATAAATATATATTTCAAATAAGCAAGAATTTTTTTAAAACTTAAGAAATAAAAAGAAAAATATGTATGAGACAGATATTGGTGCTTGCATCCAAAATTTTCCAGATGGTCAAAAGTGTCGAGGCCTGGCTCACACAATCAAGGAGGGATTCCTAGGAGCCACTGCTCTCTGAGCTTTCCTGGAAACGGCTCCCTCTTCAATATGTGGCAATGTCTGGCCAAGATGAATCCTCGACTCTGGCACACAGGGCCCAGGCAAAGCCCCAGAACCATTTGGCAAAGAAGAATTCACACTATGGGAAATTAAAAGGAAAATACTCGATACTTTTTGTTTAAAGATCATTTGGCAGGAACAGAAAGTCCCCCAAGTACCTGCTCACCTCATCCCTCAGCACCCTTCCTCTTCTACCCTTCCTCCACTTGAGTAAATCTTTCCGAAGGGAAGATAAAGGGCAACCGAAAACAACCAACAAAAAAATGAAGATATAAAAGCTCCCGAAAATGTGGGGAGAACATACCTGGATATCTCTTAAAAGAATTCCTGCTCAGGTAACTAATTTTTCTCAGGCTGAAAAAACAAACAAACAAACAAAAAGAAACAAAGAAATAAAGAAAGAAAAAAGAAAATTCCTCTTTAGAATCTATTACAGCTCAGGATAGGCTATAGTTACAAAGAGCATACTGCTGAAGTTTTTCATAGGTAGATTATTGTCCTATGATCATGGCCTAAAGATCAGAGCTAAGGCAGACTGCAACAAAGAAACAGCCCATGGGAAAATGATACAAACGGTATCTGATAATTTCCATATTGATAATCCAAACAGTAAAGAGTTGACTCTCAATCCAGTGTAAAATTTACATAAAAATAAGGATCATCACTTAGTCCATGGGCTCCATAAGTAATACCAAACTCAACCTAGGGGTCATGTGACAGTGAAGGTTCATGGGGCTAAAGGAGATGCACCCCCAAATGAAGGAACAATGACTAGTCTCTAAATTAGTGCCTTCTTAACCTTTGGGAATTATACAGTATTTGAGAACTTAATGCAAGATATAAACCTTCTCCATACACATGCACACATATACACACACACAATATTCATATGCACATCAATTTTGCAGACAATGTCAGGGAAATACAACCATCCCCAGGCCCATGAACTCCATGTTAAATACTCATTAACCCAGATTAAGGAATTCATTGTAGAAAAGCAGGAAAATTATAACAACAGAAATAGAAACCAAACAAAAAGACTCCATCTAACTAAACTAGAAATTACAGTTCTGGTCTTAAGATGTCATCCTCTCAGGGAAAGAACTTAATAGATGACACCTTAGAACTAAAAAACTTCCACATGCAATTTCTGGGGCTTCAGTGATCTCTTTTAATCATAAGGCCTAATCCAAGAGTTTCTGCTTTAATCATGTTTGTCTCAAACAGTGCTGGATTTCAGTGTTCCTAATGGTGTGAAAAAATGCAAGTAAATCTTATCTGTCACATTCCATATGTAGACACTTAGATTGCTGATCCCTCCCCTAAATGAAGGAAAGCTAATTGGTCTAATCTGTCCTATGACATCTATTTATACTAGATCTCCTGAGATTATCTATGCACTTCAACAACCTATTAGATGTAATTAATGTATTTCTCCTACTTTATAAAGAAATTCAAAGTAAATCTTTTCTCAGTACTTTCCTGGAGAATCTGAATACAATTTTGACCAAAGTCAAGGCCAACTCTAAGGAGCATAAAGCCTCCGAGTGGAAACAAAACCTTCCTATCTCCCATTTAGGAAGCATGTCCTCCCTTGCCCATGTTATCACCAGAAAACAAAGACAACTTTCTCTAGACCCTGTTAAGGTGAAGACCTCTCAGTTCTCCAAAAACCATCATTAATAAGCAAGAACTACATATTGTTTCAAACTCTGTAAATCACATTATGAAAACGAATTATGTACTTTCTTACAGGAAAGGAAAAAAACTCTATTCTCTTTATTGAAAGAGTGCCATATGAAAATTGTTTTGAATTTCTCAGGATTCATAGCAGAGATGTAAGATATTTCTACTATAAAGTTTATTAGTTAGACCCCCTACTCTTGAGTTTTTTTAAATTAATTAATTATTTTTTTTGGGGGGGGGTGATACTGATTAACAAAATCCAGTAAGTTTCAAGTGTACCTCCTGAGGTTTTTTAAAACAAACAAAAGCAAATTGAGTGAAACAACTGATAAGAGAGTCTAACAGTTGTCCAATTTTGCTAACGTCTCAGTGAGGTTCTATTTCAACACTTCTGATTCTTGTAACAGCCTCTATGGACTCATGAAACAATGAAGTCATCCAAAACACTACCAGAGAGACTCCCGTTCTCTAAAACCAGACCAAACAATGCTCTGAAATAAATGATCCAATAGTCTGTTTACACAAAGATAGATAAGAAAAAAACTCTAGCAGTGTGTCTATAACCAAGACTGATAAAATCACACCCAGGCTGTATGTAGCCATTATCTATCCCCTCTTCAGAGGTAAGGAGATACATCTACTTGGTAACAGTATTGGTAGTTATTGAAAATATCCTGAATCTGGGTCTTGTACAAGGCATCCATAATTTACACAGACAGTGCGATATGAATCTATTTCAGGACACTAGGAGGGAACCACAGCTGAACGCAAATTTCACTTACATTTGGGTAATATGACTTCTAGGAACTCAAATTTGACCCCAGATGCATCTGAAATATGCAACCAATTGCTGAGAGTGGGGAGCAGCAGTTAGTAGTCACTGCTTAGTGTTT